TAATGTCCATTCTTATACAATAAAACATATGGAGGTAACGGACAGTATCTCCCGGTGAGCTTAAGATAAAAAGATACCACAGAGTCTGAAACATCTGTTTCATATTTGGATATTTGACTTCAAAGAGACGTTAATACTAATCTAACAACCAAGCTTGATGTTAAACGTGATGACTTTAACTTTACAATCGTCAACTTCCTTTATTTATGCAGTAATATACCTGCATACGGACACATTGAAAATATAAGACAGATTTAATAATGGGCCGGTTTCAAAAACTAGAGGTACTGAGAGCAATGAACTCACTAAATGATACCCCCGCCTCCCATATGAATATAATGACAGTGTCCACGTTTTGCTATGGGAAACCCAAAATATGTATCTGATCAAAAAGTAAAATAGGTGAAGAATTGCAATATGACTGATTGATTGTATATTGTTTAACGCCGAGTCGGCAATTTTTTCAGCCATACTTCAACTGCGGACTAGCAGTTTAAATAATCGGGTTTTGAAAGTTTTTGGCTTCTCTGGCGGTCCCGAGTAAACCTTCTCTTTTTTGAACTCCAGAGAAACGATCTTTTACGTGCCAAGGAGGTTGTCATTCTTTTACGTCCTCCGATGGACTTAAAATTTCTTTAAAAATGTGTAAACTGTTAAAAATATTATATAAACTGTTTATAAAATAAATTAATGTATATATTTCTTATAAAAATTGATTAATACATGAATTTATTTAAATTTTACTATAATAATCCGTTTCCAAAGAGTCTACTTTGATTAGGTGTAAAATCGGAACATTCCAAAAGGATGTGATTTATAGTTATCGGACAGTCACAGAATATCATAAAGATTCTGTGAAAGTCTCATCATTTCATTCAAAGGTATTAGAGGAGTTGCGGATAAGAGTTGGGTACCCCAAAGCGTAATAGACAGACGAACATCCCGATTAGTATCTATACCCTCCCGCTTTTCAAGCGGGGGTATAATAATAAGCGTCCTATTTCTTGCATTGACAGTTTTTCGAAAATGAGCCTATTTTGAAAATAAGCCGGTGTCACGCCATTAAGTAAAGATGTTAAACTAAATTTTTTTTTTAAAGCTGAACCCTGTGCAAAAATTCTCAGTTGTAACTTTCTCTTGGAGTAGGAGTACGCGCTATCAGTCACCATTGCTGAAAGCTTACTGTTTTAAAAGGGGAATTTATGACACTTGAACACTTCACTCTTACAAGTTTACCTAGATATTTTTTTTTAGAATGAACAAGTAGTTCTCATTATATCGATTACAATTTATTGTATTGATAAGGAGACGTGATTATGCTCTCGTCGCTTACCGCTTTATTATCCCCTCGCGCAACTAGTTGCGGAGGGGATATAGCATCGCGAATGTGCGTATGTATGTGTGTGTGTTAGTGTGTTCGTTACATTGTGGGCAAGATTGACAGAGAACCTTTGCATTAACCTTTCTCAGCATTTACATACTTGTGTGGCAGTATGAAATGACGAAGCCTATTAATTTTCAACTCCATTGATGAAATATTTCATCAGATATCGCGTTTTTACTGCCTCGAAACCCTGACATTTTATGTACGAGTTGACAATAATCATTTCCGCTAGGGAACCAGTTTAAAAGTCGTGTCGAGTCTGTGAGAACCAGATTAAAAGAGTTTGATGAACGTCGCGGTTTCATTACCAAATTCCAACAGGTGTCTGGGAATTTGGGATTGATGCACGTTAAATTGAAAGTGTGTGTGTGTGTGTTTGTGGGGGGGGGGGGGGGGGGGGGGGGGGGGGGGGGGGGCTAAACCAACAAAAAAGGTAAACCCCAGTTTTTAATGCATAGATATTGTCTATATTTGCAAAAAAGTTGAAGGCTAAGCCCCCACCCCCCCCCCCCCCCCCCCCCGGTTCCGACGCCTATGCCACAAGTTCAAATAAACTCTCGATGTACATTGTTATTTTTCATTACGAAAAAAATGCATATTGCCTGGGACTGTGAAACATACTAATTAGGTAGGTAAATAATTAAAATTACTGAAACTTGTACATGTAGCATTCGTGATATGTTTCTACTACGTATAAAGGAAACTGCCCAATTACGTATGCATATTATGCCCCCCACCCCCCTCCCAACTTAAATGCTGTGCAATTTGATTTTTGTTAAAAATAGACACCCACACCCCCTATATTTTTGTTAAAGAAATAAATAGAGCTGAAAAACAATTTAATACCTTATATTAAACTTTACTATTCAAAATTAGGTAACAATGTTATGCCCCCCCCCCCCCCCCTAACCAAGACGCTTTGCAATTTGATTTTTGTTAAAAATAGACACCCCCACCCCCTATAATTTTGTAAAAGAAATAAATAGAGCTGAAAAATAATTTAATACCTTATATTAAACTTTACTATTCAAAATTAGGTAACAATGTTACCCCCCCCCCCCTAACTAAGACGCTTTGCACCTTGCATTTTGTAAAAGAAAAAAAAATGAATCAACAACACTCCACTAATTATTTTGTCAAAAGTAAGGGAGTTGATCCTAATGTTGCGGGTTTGAATCCCACTGTAGGACGTGGAGACTGGTCCTTCTAATGAGACCGTGTGTCACAGGGTGGCTGGCGGCTTCCCAAAATCACAAAGCAATGTGTATAAAATAGTTTTTATTACAGATATTTACAAACACACGCGAAGTATAACTGTCTGAATGGCTCACTGGCTGAATGGCATGAATGGTACAGATGGCATAAGTGACCTAAATGGGACCTATAATATAAATCAAAGTTAGATACAGATATAATATAATTATACATTGCTCATACTTGTACATTTTGCTGTACATTTACTTATGTGCATTTTACTGCATTACACTTTACTTAGTTGTATTTTACTGCACTGTACTTATAATTCATTTCACTTCATACTACTTTACTTCATAGAACATTTGTTCACATATAAACTAAGTGTATTACTTGTAGACAACCACTTTAAGACGAATACTACGTCTACATTATACATATACTCATAAACAGGTTGGGACCAATCGCCTAAACGGGATATAATATCCCAAGTGGGCTATTATTACCCAAATGAGCTATATGTAAATATCCTATTTGGGCTATATAAAATTTGGCGGTAATGACTGCACGGAAATTTCTTGATTTCGCTTATTCTTGAGGGATCTCGTTTACAAACATAGTCCCAAGGATATAAAAGGCGGTCAATTTTGAGGCCATTAGAGTCTCATATGCTGCGGAACTGAAAGGACAGTAACCTCCCGGTAAGTGGCTTACTCAATACCGCTTATATGAAGAATGATAAATCTATTACTGCATCGTTATGAGCTAAAAGAAAATTACCTGTTAACTTTTCCTGCCATTGACAGCCATCTTTGAAAAGGCGCATGATCATGTGATCAAACATTGACCAATGAAACATTGTTTTACAAAGTGAATGAGTCTTTCAGGATATATTGTATGGCGTGCTGTTATCATTAAAAATAAACTTTTTTTACGCCTTTCATTAAAATCTACCTTGATGCATTTAAATAGATATTTTGCTGCATAAAATGAAATTTGTGACATCTACATAGAGCCTCCTTTAAATTAAATAATCATGGATATTTAAAAATAATAAGCTATCTAAAATTGAAAGCGGTAGTCGGGGGGGGGAGCTTGCATTACAAAAAGAAGTATTGCATGATAAAGTGATGCATTTTATTATTTTTTTTTTAAATAGATATGCCCCCAAAGCGTAAATGCAGCAGCAAACACCATGATTACTGCTGTTCTCTATATCCTGGTGAGGAGGAATTATCGATACGCCGAATTTCTGACAAAAAAATTAAAAAGTCAGTAATTGATTTTCTAATCACAAAAAACCACATTTTCCCGCATTCCACATTCCTATGCAGCCTATGTGTGAAATTTGCCGAACAGGGGATAGAATATGAGGCTCGGGCAGAGGAAGCTGCATTTAAACGCAAAATAACCATCCTGGATTATTTTGATGAATTTCTGGATGCTATTTATCAGGACAAGTTGTCAATGGAGCAGTTATCTTCATTAGCTCATGCGTTAGGCAAGTTTACAATATTTCACAAGCATTTTTATATGATGAATAAAGAATAAATGATAAAAAGGATTGGCGTCGGAAGCAATGAGAAGGGGGGGGGGGCTAAATGAAAGAGACAAAAAAACTTACAAACGCGAAATCCCATTTATTGGTAGGGGTTGGGAAGAGGGGGGATTAAGATTAAACTTCTATCAGTTCCAGACTTTTTTTCAAACACCACCAATTACCCTTCTTTCATTACACTGCAACGTGCCTGTTGAAAGTGGGGGGGGGGGGGGGTAACCTTATCCACCAATGTTCAGTACCTAAGTTATGTCTATATTTACAAAAGCGTGTGTGGGGGGAGGGGTTTTAGAAAATAAAAAAAGTATGACGATATTTATAATAAGGAATTTAAGAAATTAAGGTAATGCAATAAGCACCCCGCCCCCGGTTCCGACGCCTATGAAATGTAAATACATGTGTTACATAATATTACATCTGTTTCATGATCAAACACATGTGTTCTTTAAACAGGGAAAAGCCAGAGAAAGAATATAAATGAGGACTTGATAAATTGTGGGAACCTGTACAGGGACATTGAATTTTTGCAAACATTTAACATCAAAGGTACTCTTTTTTAATTATACCTATGTATTACAGAATACAGTATTTTACTTTCATAATTCGAATTAATTTTTTTATATTTTCTTTAAGACTGGTTAGACGAAAGAAATAAAGTTGTTATAAACTTTATAAGGGGATGTTGTGGAGACACATGTAGCGAGGTTTCTACGGCAAAAACACTGGAATCATTATATGGGTGTAGAAATCAAAGATTTGTATCCCCAATTTCGTTTGCTCAAAGTTTAATTGGGTATGTAATAAAACATTTGAAATATTTGCAGCTGTCTAAAAAATTTACTTTATATGTAAAAAAAACAATAAATGGGTGCATTTATGCATTTTAGATTTTACATAACTGGCAGTAAGTCTGCCTTGACACTTTCCACTAAAGGCAGTCCATCAGGCTCTTATACTACAGTGCAAAACTGGATTGCAGACCAAGGAAAACAGAAGATCCAGTGTCCACAACATGCTGATGTTGTTACTTTTTTTGACAATAATCAGGTATCCCAAGTGTGATTTACTTTAAACCCCTCCTTCCCTCAAAAACTCTGATCTGTGGTAATTTGGTATGAAAAGTCATAGGTATGAGGCATAAAAAGTCAGCGACTTACCTCCTCAACCCCATCCCCCACCCCCAACACACACACACACACACGACACAGAATTTCCACGTTTGGGCAAGTTTAGGTGTTTTTTTCCTTTGTCAATAAATTTGTACATTGCATTTTTATATGGGATGGAATTAATAAAGAAAATAAATGAAATCTTATTAAAAAATATTCAATAAAAGAAATTGCTGACAAATAAAATATGTTACAATTTTTCCATTATAGGTTCTTGAAAAAAAGTGGAAGGTGGAAGTTAATTATAAGTCCTCCTCCAGTGTCATCACCACAACCGTCCATATTGTGCCTGATGACACACAACAACTACAGGAGAGGCCAGAGCTGTCCCCCAAGGAGTGGTTGGACTTTTCCGAGGCTGGGAAGAGGGACACAGTTAGGAAAATGAAAAAGTCTGACGAAATTTATAATGAGGAATTTAAGAAATTACGGTAATGCATTTTTACTCTCATTTCATATGTAAGCAAATTTTTTCACATACACGTGATTGTAATTTTTGTCTTCTTATTTAAAAGAAGCCAATTCCTGGAACACAGGATTAAAAAGATCTTGAGAGAGATGGATGCCGAGGGGAAGGATGACGTAGACAAAAATGCTTTTAATATTTCACATTCTTCTGCAAGTGAAAGGTATATCATTGAATTGTACTTTTGCAGTTTAAAAAATCAAATTAACCTAATTTTTTTCGGTACTTAAATTTACTCTTAATTTTTCTTCCGTAGATATAGTTTTGCGAAATCTGGTCACAGCTCTAGTGTTTGTGTCACCATGGGAGAACCATGCTTTGAAAATCCTTGTTCCTACGAAGCTGTGGAAAAGGTGAAATTTATAAAGAAATTAAATAAAATCTTATAAAAAGAATATTCAATAAAAGTCACTGTATTAAAGAAATATCAACCCCAATCCCCAATGCACCCTACCTAGCCCCCACCCATCCACAGCTTTACCAAGAAATAAATTGTTATCACAGGTTCTTCAGCACATTTTGGAGGAAGCTGATGTTGGGGCTAGGAGAGAGTGGACAGTTATTGGCTGCGATGGTCTGCCTTTTACCCTTGCATCTAGAATCATAGGTAATTTTATAATAAAAGGTGGATGGCGTTTCAAGAATGATTATAGACAATGAAATTTAACATGAAGATAATTATTTTTTTTCTTCGAAATTGTTTTACATTTAACGTAATAAACTATGTGTATTATATTTTGGCAGAAAATACATTTGTCTGTCCCCATTGCACAATGGAATTTATGGATGAGGCAGACTTTGATGAACATCGCAGCAATTATAAGCATGCCAACAACGACTCAAAACAGAAATGCAGAAAATACAACAATATTGTGATGATACCTGGTAATCATCCCAAGACAGTGATGTAGCATAAATTTTGAAAGGGGGCAGCCAGAAAAAAAATTAACTTCATGAAAAAATTACACAAAAAACAAAAACCCGGAAAATGTTTGTTAGGAAAGGACTATCCAAGTTACTGAAATTGTGTCCGATCCTTTTGACTTTGTTCAATAAAATATGTTCAATTCATTTCAATATTACATATATGTATAAAGTTATGCCTATATTTATTTATTTATTCACCAATCAGGGCCCTCGGGGGGCATATACAATATTAAACAAACAATATAAGGATTAAACCAATTATCATGTATAAAGTTATGTTTGGAAAAAAGAGGGATAGGGACCACCTCCCTCCCCCCCCCCCTTCTACGTGCCTCATCATACTACATAACTTAAAAATATATTTATTAAGTAATGTATATTCATATTTACGTATGTTGAACTTTTTTTAGGGCTAGGCCACTACGAAATCAACATGACAAAGGCCCTGTTCCGCCTACTATGGGACATTGCTCTTGTTGACTTAGCAAAACTCTTGGGTTTTCAAAGTCCAAAGGCACAGGCCTCCTGCAAGAGCGCCAATGGTAAATTCCGTAAAAACAATTAACATAAATAAGAAAAACAAATATTTTACTACCACACATTGTATAAAGAAAAAAATTAATTTTTTGTAATTTTTTTTAATTTTTATTTTTCTTTGTATTAAATATATATAGATCATCATAAAAGCTGGCAAATTCTGACCATATTCATGGAAGCCATGTCTTCAGAATTACTGACCACGTATATTAAGGACACTAGAGAATCATCCCCTCCCTCATACCTTGGCTTTTACGAGTGGTATTTGGGTGTTCGAAACCCAAATTATAAGTTTATGGCTGAGGTAGTATTTACTTACTGCCTTGCCCTCCATGTTTTCAGAGCTGGGGTCAGGCGAAACAATACACTGGCTATCAATGCTGGCAAAACAAAGTTTTCGCCCCTTTTCTTTGGCCTTAACATGCCGATATACATGGAGACATATATTAGAGACTCATTTCTTCGTATTCAGTGTCCCGACATTGTTAGACAATTTCTTGAAGACAATGAGTCTTACAGTGTGTCTGGTAATGAGTCAAAGGGGGAAGGGGGTGATTTTATTTTAGAGGCAAAAAACAGAAGAACCAAGATGTGGATACCGAGTGGCGTGCCTGAGAACAACAGGTGGCTTAATGTCTGTAGGTGTATAGACAAATTGGAAAAGGTAAATAACAAAGTAAAAAAGTTAAAGATTTCAATTTTTATTTTTTGATGATTGTTTTGTACTGCCGATATGAAATGGGCATTTCCATCCAATCCTGCTCAGGGGGGCCTTAGAGGTCACGGTAATGCCAATACATAGAGCATGTACCCAATATTCACACGTTTGTTTAATCCTCCCAAGATTTACAACATGGGAGCAGCCCACCCACATGGCCTTCGTCTCCTTCCTCCCTTCGCCGCATATGCGGCAAAGGGTAGTGTCAGTTACCCTTGAAAAAGAAGACTCTGTTGTTTGAGTTTGGGCTGAAGTCTTCCTCTTAGGGGAAAAAGAGAAGGATGGTCCTGGTGTCTCCTCATCCTGATTAGGAGGGGTTGCCCCTTCTTCCTTCTCCCCACCTGGGCGACGTAGATTTTCCTAGAAATGTACATATATTCTAATAAAATAAGCAAATAAAGTTTATTAATCCGTGTTTAAATTTTGAAACGTAATTTTTCATGAATTTACCATATCAAACTCCACTGAGGGGGACTTATACACATACTCGGTCCCACCTGAACTTTTCAAATACAGCAGACAATCCGCCCCAGTGGCTTCCGAAATTTCCCTCGCCTACAAAAGAATGAAATTTGTAATATATATTATTTCAAACGATTAATTATCAGGCTCGGATCCAGGATTTTTTTTCCGGGGGAGGGTTCCACTCTAGTGAAAAAAATAAAACAACCCAGAAATAAACTTAATAACTATGCAAATTCCATAGGGGAAGGGTGTTCCCCCCTTTACCCCCCCCCCACTCCTCTAGATCTTACAGGAATTGGTGAATAGATCCACGAATATTTTAGAAGAGAAAAATTATGATTATTGAAATGTACTAGTACCTTAAACTTTTATCATTAGGCCAAGCTTAAAAAATTCTTTGTTTGCAGTTGCCACCCCAATAAATTTTAGAGTGGGTTGGTAGGTAGGTATGATATATATATATATATATATATATATATATATATATATATATATATATATATATATATATATATATATATATATATATATATATATTTGTCTTTAAGTTTTTGTTAAAAATCAGAGATTTTTGTTATTTTATGCCACTTATCGTTAGAAACAAAAATAAATAAATAAAATAAAATGAACACAAGTTTTTATCCTAAAAATTTGAAAGTTCCAAAAAAAAAGTTCTCAAAATAATAATGGCTGAAAAAAAGTTTCAGTTGGGTGCATTTAGTGAATCGTTAGGCAATTGCAAACAAACATTTTTTGGATGCCTTATGGAGAGTAATTATACTTATGTGTATATAAATTACTAAATTATGATTTGTAGGTCAGAAGTAATGTGTGCGCAGCGCTCTGCATGTGTGAGCTGGACCCAGACTATGCGTACATGTATGATATAGAGTTTGAGGTTTTCAGCTTTCGCCAGCATATCAGGCGCTCGGGGTACTTGGATGATCCCTTTGAATCTAAGAAGCACTGTACTTTACAGGGGAAAGTCTTAGACGAATCATTTATTCATTTTGATCGTATGTGTTTTGATAACAAGACAGAGTTCTTAGACTTTTGTGTAGTACACAAATTGCAGGAAAGGAAAAAATTCATTCCAATTTTTATTTTTCCAGAGGACAGAGAGGATTTCTTTTCTATAGAAAAAAAATCTAAAAGTGAGTTGATAAAACTTAATGAAAAGTTGGCTCAGCTAGATGATGATGATTTAAATTCAAAATGGATTGGTGTGAAAAATAAGAAGAAAAATGAAATTGTTAAATTTTACAAGGATTTGCAGGTAGAGAGTGGGTAATTCTCTGTGTTCTTTATTCTGATTTCTTACTCGGAGTTCCTTGGATGACTCGTACCTCGCACATGACCTCGGACGTCAAAGGTGTTCTACCTTCTAGCTGAATCAGTCAAGTGATCTTATCTGAATTTCATTCAAATGTTATACTTTTGAAATCCGAGTTACTTATGCTCAACACTGTGTTCTACTAATATATGGTTGTAATTAATATGAGGAATTACCCAAATAAAGAAACCTTTTCGAAGAACTTTAGGCAAAGCGAAATATGAAATGAGTGACAAGGCAATTTCCGGTGGAGAAATGTAGCGACTTTATGCTTATAACTCCATCTATCACATCCTAGGTTTGAATGGAACGTAGCGGAATCAGCCGAGGATTGCCGATTGCTGCTTTCATGGAAAGGGCAATGCTATGAGATGAATTGTGTGTTCAATGTACTCTAACATATTTTTATCTTTACATCTGTGATATAATGTGTTGGAAAAATAGAATTGATTAGTAAAACATGATATATTATTAGATTTTTACATCAGTGATACTCGGAATATCAATGTTTTATACTTTTTAAATTGTATAAATGTAAATTTTAATTTAATTTATATGGATTGTACACATATCGTGTATGATTGTCAATTATCTAAAGTATGCATGTCTTGCATGCATATAATGTAAATAAATCAACAACTATAAATTTTATACTTTTTCCAAAAGTGTATTTTTCCTTTTAAAAAATGACTGAGAGATCTTCTGGCTGCCAACTAGCGCCTTCACGTCCCTCCTATTCTTCCCCAACTTAACGTTTGTGACCTTGCTGGTTTTACCGTTCCTTTTCTGTGAAAAAAGAGGAAATCAATTAATTGACAACAGACAGAGAAAAAAAGGGGGCAAAGACTGACTGCAGAGAGCGGCACTACTTAAGCAAACATGCGCGGATCTAGAGTGCCCCGTTACAAAATTCCAATTGATTAAATTTACATTCTTGAATTGTCGCAAATAGTTACACCCCCCCCCCCCAGCAAACAACATAGATATCCCTCTTAATAAATGGATCCGCGCATGAAAATGACTTTAGCCAGTGATGGGGCTCGTTTTACAAAAAGAACTTACAACTCTACCAAAATTAAACACATGTAATGCTGAAAACTTTTTATTGTACATTGAATTTAAAAGGAATTTTCAACTTAAAAAAACCTTTAAAATGATATTTTTTGTTAGAAGTTTAACAACAGAATAATTGATTTTTGCAAAATTTTAAACTAAAGTTTTTGGTCTTCGTCGTAAGTTCGCTTCTTTTCTAACACGGGTCAGCTGTTCTCGTTCTTTACCAACCAGTTATCGTTCTTCACCAATGAGTTATCGCTCTTTAAGTTATATCTATATATACTCTAATTTGCTGCATACTCACTTCATATGTCTATTGTAGAGTATTTATTCATATAAAACATTTTAAACATAGTTTATTATGATATATGACTGAGTTATGAATGAAGCAAAAATGTTTTTCAAAAGTTTCCCTTTTCCTTCTTATGGCCCTCCATACATTATTTTGAAAAGACCACTAAACCAAAGATTAAACCTATTTTCTGATTGGATGATTTGATCTCGCGAGAATTCTTTGCGTTAAAGATGGCAACTGAAGAAGCGGTTTGCTTCACCACATGAAAAAAAATGTGAAAGTTTTCCAATTATCAAGAAAGCACAGAAAATTTGAAAAGGTATATCATTTATACTTGGTGGCCCTGTCATATAATATACGATTACTTCTCTGCTAGGGATGAAATAGAAGTAAGATATGTCATAAAACATTCGGTGTAAAACTTGCAACTTACCACTGTAGCAGACATCTTGCGGAAATTCGAACTTTCTTCACTGATAGGAAAAAAGCGTGCGGTATATCCCGCGCAGGATATTTACATATAGCTCATTTGGGTAATAATAGCCCACTTGGGATATTATATCCCGTTTAGGCGATTGGTCCCAACCTGATAAACTTTTACTTTTACTTATACTTTACATGAGCAAATACTACTTTGAATCTAACTTACGAATGAAATTATAGAACAAAGTTCTGTGGCCATTTCAGGAATTAAAACCGTCAATAAATCATACAGTTAACGATAATGAATAAAATACACTTACCCAGAATAGGTGGACCTCTGGTCATGAAATAAGAAATTATTTGAGAGCTGTCTTAAACACAACTGCTCCGGTCAATTGCTACGCCCAATCTGACTTCAAGGGATTTAAATCGCCAGGTAAAACCTGCTAACAAGCTCAAAAGTATGGTAAACATTTTGGGCTTAAATTATTAGTTAAATAGTTATCAGATAAAACATATGGAAATCAAATACGGACATCAATAGTGACACCGTGTAAACCAAGGGCCAGTGTCCCAATAGATGCTGGTACAAAAAGATCCCTCACTGCTCAATGGCCGTCAGTGCCTATTATAGGAAAAAATGTGCAGCTCTTCACGGGCAAGCCTTCATATGAGCAAAATATTCATGAGAAGGACATTAAAGAAGATACGTTGTACTAACAATCTTTGACATGTTTAACGTCCCTCTAGAGAATTGATCTCTCATGAGATATTGCCATTACCAGTGATGTTCCTGCCGCGAGGGGATGCTCCGCTTAGCGGTGCCCTTGTTGTATTGATAATAAGCCGCGATTTGAAAACAGACGTCTTTGAAAATAAGCCACAGCTTTTTTACCAAAACTTAAAATAAGCCGCGGCTTATTTTCAAGGTTTTAAGGTATCTCAGTTTGTTCGATACGCAAGAGCATGCTTTACGTATGAACAATTTCTAAAACGAGATAAATTATTGACAAGTTGATAAAACAAAAAATTAGCGATCTTGTTTAAATTTTCGTCTCAAGCCACGGTCCGGAGTCCGCATAAAGCTCTCTCCTACAAGAATGGGAGAGGATCGTACATTTTGGCCGTGGTTTGCGAGGATGGTTTTAGTAATCATTTCGAATGTTCAAGGGTCAATACAATGACCTCGCAGCAAATACAATTTATCACTTAGTCAAATGCTGACTGGCATTTTTAATACTAATTGATATTCCATAATTTATACACTGAATTGAAGACGGATATTCTCGTTATATCCCGAAGCACATGGCGGGTATGACGGGTTGGTAGGGGATGCTCACTCCTCCATGGCAACTGATCCCACCTCTTATGTTTTGGAGGTGTTGTATTGTTTAGTGGACTATCGATTTTGAATACTGTTATCTCCACATGTTTGGCTGTGATAAATTTAAGAGGATTTGCTAAAATTTAAGACTGTATTCTCTTTTCTTAGGAATTTCATAAGTACATATCGGAACTATAACGATATTTCATCAGTTGATGTTAATTTAAATGTTCCAGATAAAAATAATTGCATATTTGGAACTTGTGAACATGGAGGGGTTTGTGAGGATATGTACAGAGATTTTCAGTGTCACTGCAAGCCTGGATTTACGGGAAAAAGATGCCAAACAGGTAAAGTAATTTTCACTTTCAAATAATATTTATATATTTCGGATCTATACCGAGTTTCTTATATGATATTTATATACGTAACAGATGTTGATGAATGCTCAGCACGGCCATGTGACCAAGGGTTCTGCAACAACACGGTAGGGAGTTATCACTGCACCTGTTTCATCGGTTGGATAGGGAAGCATTGCGATTCAGGTATGTTTAATTTGGACAGATAAAACAACAACGTATTGATACATGTGATAAATGTGTTAAATAACAAATAAAAAGTCCGATATTGTTCATTTGTAGAGGAACAACAAAATAACACTGTATGTTCGAGAGAGGAAGTCTGTTGTAAAATGTCACTGCACAAATCACAAGAAGACACAGTTAAGCATAGTAAGAGACATCTGAAAGACTATTTTCAGAACCTTTGATTATTCCAAAAATATTACCAAGATAAAGATTATTCCACAAATATTACCAAGATAAAAAAAATATGACTCAGGCGTGGACGAACGATTTCATTATGAGAGTTCAACCAGGGTAGAAAAAACGTCAATCAAAATCTTTGTTGAATATGAGGTTTTAAAAAAAGAAAACCTAAAACAAAAAAACTATTGAACTCTTATCCGAGGGGGGGGGGGGTGATTCGCTTACTTTACCTATTATTTGTTTGTTGTTTATAGAATCTTGCGAGAACTTTTTCACTCAAACACACCACCATTTACCAGTGGAGAACTGCAAAGATAGACCCATGTCCGCTACTTAGGGCCATTGAGCAGTGAGGGATCTTTTCAGTGCCGACAATTATTGATGCACGGGACGTTGGTTTCCATGGGTTCTTTTTGAAGGACGTCTCCACGTCTCGCATTAAGATTCGAACCTGTAATGGAAGGGTCAGCTCCTGCACGACTGTAGATCAGACGCTCTTACCACGCGAGCGACTTTTCACTTTTTAAGCTTCATCAGTCTTTCCGCACCGTAAAAAAGGTCTTCCTTTGGAAAGGAACACCACAACTTACCGGTGAAGAACCACAGATTCTGTCCTAAATTCGGCCTTCAAGACCAATTAGTTGAGAGGGATCTTTTTCCCGTGCGATCATCTACTTCGACACGGGACCTCCGTTTACAGGTCTCATATGACAAGCGCAGTGGTAAGAGCGTCTGCTCTAGAGTTGCGAAGTTGACCCTTACGTCACGGATTCGAATCCAGCTAGCTATGGGATGTGAAGACCAGTCCTTGGAATGAAACCCCATAAAACCGGGGTCCCGTGTCGCAGTAGATGCTGGCACGATGACCCTCTCTACCCAATGGCGCCGAGTATAGGACAATACTTTCAGATCTCCACCGGCAAGTGTGTCTCTATGAGTGAAGAGGGGTCGATGTATTACAATCAACAAACCGAAGGACCGGTCTCCATCCAACAGTTGGATTCGTACCCGTGACGTAAGGATCAACTCATTGCTCCGCGACTTTAGAGTGTTTGAATGAAGGTCTAATTAAATTCTGGATTAAATGGTAAATGCTTACAATTACAGTTGAATTTGTTACATTTTTTACCTTTAGAATAATTGTTCTTCAATAATGCAAAAGCTGATTGATCTAAAAAAAGTTGTTAAACAGGAAAAATATGTGAAGAAGAAGGAACGAACAGTATTCTTTATCAAAGTCCATAAAACAATACAAAATAGGAGCAGAGCAAACACGGACCTCCGAAACATCAGAGGTGGGATCAAGTGCCATGAAGGAGTGAGCATCCCCTGTTGACCGGTGACACCCATCGTAAGGTCTTCCTTTGGAAAGGAACATCACAACTTACCGGTTAAGAACCACAGAACCACAACTTCGTGGTACGACTTACTTACTGTATTACGTCAGATGGCGGGATAGTCGCACTCCCTCTCTTCTACACCTGGATGCCGAGCAGACAGGACGTGTCTGGGACAGCAGCAGAGCGAGGAGTCGACCCGGGCCAGAACCCACTGTGATTGTGTTTGTATATATGTTGGATGTTATTAAATATATTGTAAAGCACACCCCCTAGACGGTTACTTTACTG